TTTCCCTCTCTTTCTCTCTCTCTCCCCCCTTCCCCTTTTCCCATCTCCACTGTTCTTCTTTTTTCCCTATGTGTGACCAGACTCAGACGCAGTTGGAGCATGCCCGAATACGGGAGCTCGAGCAGAGCCTGCTGTTTGAGAAGGCACAGGCTGAAAAACTCCTCAGAGAATTAGAGGACACGAGGGTAACGGACCCCCACTTGCCCTGCCTGCAGAACAGCGCGCTTGCCCCCTGCGTTGATGCTCATGACGCCTTGCTTTGGGTTTCTTCTTTTTTTTTTTTTGGTTTGTGGGGTTGTTTGGTTTTGGCTTGAATTTAGGCTTCCCTGATTTTTTGGTGTTTGTTTGTTTTTGGTTTTTTTTTTTCCTTTGCTCTCTCTCCTGGAAACGGTAGTACGATATAATTTCTAGCTTTGCTTCTTGTGTGGGGACTGGTTTCTCAGATTGAGTTTGCTTCTCTGCCCCATGCCACCATTTGACACATGAGCTCTTCACAATTCATCTTTCAATTAACATGCCCAAATAATATCTGCACCCTGCACAGTTCATTCTCCCTCAAGGCTCCCCAGGCTGTAATAGAAAACAACATTGCAATCAGCATTCCCTTTGTCCTTCTCTAGCTGTGGGAGCTGCCATCTGAAATGGAAGATACTGGTGAGTGCAGGTGGACCAGCTCTGATCCTTGGCCATGCCTGCAAGAGAACAGGCTGCCCAGATGAACAACACACCCGATCCTAAAAGCAGCCAGATGTGGAAAGGGCTTTTTCATGCTGGTGTGGTGTGGGAAGCGGAGAACTTGCCTACAGTGAGCTTGCTCCTCACCGGTGGATTTCTGTAGAAAACACAAACATGAGGTTCTCCGAAAGGGCTAAACGGTTTGAATGCCCCTGTGCCCATCTAAAATAAAAAACACGCAGCCTCCCGGGCTGATGGTTAGTGGGGAAAATGGCAATTGAAATGAAATGGAATTGATCGCTTGTGTTTTGGCACTGGAAGATCTGCTTGGTTTCCTTGTTTCTTCTGCCTTTTTCTAATATTTCATCTAGTCACATCTCCTCTTCTTCTCCATCCATAGCTGCAGCACCCTGAACTCCCTGTGACTAGCAGGTAGTTCAGCCCTGTTAGGTTACATTCAGATCATAAGACATTGATCCATAGCCCTGATGCTCAATGTTAACCACAGCCAGATTTATTGTCTTGCATCCTCTAGCCTTCTACGTTATTTTCACTTTGCTAATAAACTCTAACAAGTACTCACGTGTAAAAATCCCTTTGCCTTTTTACACCAGGGTAAACAAATTACGACGCAGAAGAAAGGTCTGTAGGCTGAGGATTGCGGAGCAATAAAGGAAACATGATACGCTTAATGCTGGTTTCAGTGCTTGTGGTATTCCTGCATGTGCAGTCACATTTCCTCTGTGCATCTTCTGGCACGATGCCTAGTCTGGAAATATAATATCCTTTTCAGGACATTATTTTTCATAAACCGCTGTTGCTCTCTAGCAAATTTCAAGGGTTGTTTCAAAGGTGGGTGTTTCTCTGTGGAAAACGAAAGGTTCCTATTAGAAAAAAACAAATTGCAATTGGCACATGGACAAAACTGTTGGAGTTATTGGTGATAGTTACCCTGGTGCAAAACTGTACTCAGACTGGAGGGCGCTGGGTATTCTTGTCCCGTTTATTTGAACTTTGACTAATGTACTTTGGATTCACTGCCACTGGAGCACACTTAGTAAAAGGAAGGATGCAGCGATGAGAGGTGGGGACTGACTTTGTGTTCTCTGTTGTGTTGCAGTTAACCACGGTAGCGGAAAAGTCCAGAATCCTGCAGCTGGAGGAGGAGCTGAGCCTCAGGCGCAGCGAGGTGGATGAGCTTCGGCAGTGCCTCAGGAGCTCTCACCAAGCAGAGACCCCTGAGCATAACCTTGGCTTGCAGTCGGAGGCTCTTCGTCTACGAGATCAATTGCTGTCTGCCAACAAGGAGCATCAGAAGGAGAGCAGCCAGCTAAAGGAGAAGTATGAGAAGACATTAAAGAAGTACCAGCAGGAGATGGAGAAGCTGAAAGCTGTCAATGAGAAGTATTCACAGGAAATCGTTGACCTAAAGCATAAAGTTCAGCAAGCCACTAATGAGAACATGGGGCTTATGGACAACTGGAAGTCCAAGTTGGACACGTTGGCTTCTGACCACCAGAAGTCTCTGGAGGACCTCAAAGCCACGTTGAACACAGGCCCTGATACCCAGCACAAGGAGATTGTGGAACTGAAGGCAGTGGTGGAGAGTATAAAGATGGAGCACCAGCTTGAGATGGAGAACCTGAAAGCAAAGCATGACATTGAGACAGCTGTTCATATAAAGGAGAAAGAGAGCCTCAAACTGAAGTTGCAGGAGGCTGTGGATGAAGTGGAAAAAAGCAACAGCAACTGGAAAATGCAACTGGAAACCAAAAGCAATCAGCACCTTCTTGAGCTCCAAGATGTGAAGGACAAGTGTCGAGATGCTGAGCTGAGGGTGCATGAACTGGAGAAACTTCATGGTGAATACAAAGATCAGACACAAGCAATAGCTTTCTTGAAAGAGCAGATTTCTTTGGCTGAGAAGAAGATGTTGGACTATGAAACACTGCAGAAAACAGAAGTCCAGAGCAAACAGGAGATCCACAGATTGCAGGAAAAAGTGCTTGTCTTAGAGAACAAGCTGCAGTCCATGGAGGCCCTGCATCCTTCTCAGCATGCAAACGTATGACTTCTGAGTCGTTCTGCTTGTTTGTTACCACTGTTAGTAACTCTTCGAGGGAGTAGCCCTCGGCTGCTGCCTTGGGCAATTTTCTGAGCTTTCTATGCCTCAAAGTATCCGGATGTTTTTTACCTTCCATTGATAGTGCCTTTTCTGCACTGCATCTCCATGCTGGAGGTGTCTTCCTATTCTTGAAAGCCGGTAGAGTGGCACAGTTAGCAGAAATAAGAGTCAAGAGAAGCAAGTGGGCCACGTCTGGGCTTGAAGGCAGACGAGTGCTGTGGCAGCAGAATAGGACTATCGTAGTTTGTCGGGGTGGGCTCTCATCCCGAGCGAGCGGGCAGCGTTCGTAGCTGAAAAAGCATCGTTTCTACAATACAGCTGTTGTCCCCCGAGGAGCTGCAGCAGCCTTAGTGTGTTATGGAGCGAGGCCCTTTAGGGGTAGGTGGAGGACAGGGTGGAAGAAGAGTCGTTGCCCGCGCTGAGATAGAGGACGTAGCTTGCTCAGCACCTGGAGCGTGGCTTGAGAGCCTCGGTTGGGGGGCTGAGCTGACGGCACGGGGTGGGAGCTGCGCGCCAGCAGTGCGGCCGAGCAGCGGGCAGGCTTCGCCGCGCATACAAGAGAGACGGGGAAATGCTGCCTTTAAGGATTGTAGTGGAAGAGCTGCTAGCAAGGGTCAGGATGGCACCAGGCTGGGGAAATAAAATGCCTGATTGAATACGAGTCCTGAGGCTCCTCGGGAAGGCTAGAATAAGAACAGTAATAATTTGAAGGGGTCAATTTTCTGTGTCCTTTGTGTCTTTCTAAGTCATCCCCCTTTTTTTTTTTTACTATTTGCCACAGGATGCCGTCCTGCCTGTGTGCATGGCACAGGGACGTGTGGCTGGCTTTGCACTAGAGTGAGATGGGGAGATTGCTACTCATGGCTCTAGGCTGGACCCATGTTTGTGTTTGGATTTTGCATGAGAAATGAGCAAAAACCCAACTTACAACTTGTCCCTGTAGGGATGCAGAAAATTAAAATAAGCCATGAAAAGACACATTTTGAGAAGACTCATTTGAAATCTGTCACTGGCAACGTAGTCACCGTTCCAGCCTTAGGTGCCAAGGAAGCGAATACCGTGCCTATGCTTAATTTGCCAACATGCGCAGCCCTATTGAAATTGGTTGCACCTCTAGGCAGCCAAGTCAAGCCCATGAATTCCTGTTGGCCAAGTCAGAGCTTCATGCCTGCTGAAAGGCACACTCAACTGGACAGGAGAGGCAAAAGCCTGAGGAGGAATCTACAGCATTAATGGTGTTTCAAGGGTTGTTCAACACGTTTTGTCTAGTAAAGACAGTCATGAACAATAAGTACAGCCAGGGCCCTGGGAAAAGTGCGTTGTTATTACAACATGTCACACATTATAGCCAATATTCAAACAGGAATGAATGTAAATTAAGAAGCTGGAGGTTTATTCCCGAGCCCTTTAAATAACTGAGGGGGCTCTGGGGGACATTGATATTGGAATAGAACCAGGGAGTCTTGAAATAATTATTTTAACTATGTGTTGATTAAAATCATGAAAATGTGGGAAGAAATGCATGGGTGAAAGCCTTTGAGTGTCATAGGGGAAATTCTATTTTTAAATGTCTTGGCTAATTTAATGTGACTGCAGTATTAACTATCAAAATGTTTTAAACAAATGTGTCTTGTGACCATGAATGTGCCATCTTGCCTAGACCTTCAAGTGAGAACCACAACTGTGCTTCCCAAGAGCAGTTAAACAGTTTTTTCCATACCAGAAGTGCATCAGGCAGCGTATTTCCCCCTCTTGGCGTGCTCCTGCTTCTGTTCAAGTACCCTGCAGCCCACTCAAGGTCTTGGGGACTGACCTCAGGGCTTTCAGCGGTGGTGGCCGCAGCAACTGCTTGATCTGGGGTGTGTGCTGAGGTCTCACCGAAGGCTGTTGGACCTTAAGAGACTTGAAGGGCTGAGTTGTGGCTTCTGCAATAGAAGGCTTGGCAGTGAGCGCTGCGGTCTCTGGCTTTACACTTTCCGGTGCAGTATAGAAAAAAGAGGATGGGGAAGAGGCAGAATCCTCTATGTGGATCAGCATTTGCTTTTTTTTTTTATTTTTATTTGCTTTTTTTTTTTTTATTCATTCTGTAATAACAATTATTTTATCAAGGTTTTATTACTGGTGTTATAACTTTGGGCAGAGTTAGATTCTTCAGAAGTTGAGGAACTTGTTGCCTGATAGGTCTCAAGTTGAATGCTAAAGAGCATTTGCACCTGAATATTTGGTGTGGTTTACCACAGGAGACTGGTCTGAAGGAGAGCAGCTCTTCCATCGTTCTGCGTGTGTGAAAGCTGGAACCAGAGCTTGCGGGGAAAGCCTGGTCTCTTTTTCCCTCCCGGGTGAATCTCACTGTTGTGCTCAGCTGCCTGTTGTGTGTAGGCCCTCTCAGATGGTACCAGTTAACCTTCAGTAGTACCCAGCTGTAGGTGTGACTCCTCAAAAGCTTTTGTTTCCCTCAGGAAGGATGTAAAACATCGTAACTTGGGTACCGGATACACTTCTGCTTTGGATGGGGCTTTGTGGTTGTTAGCTTTGCTTTGAATCTTTGGGTGAAGGGCTGGTTTATATCTCCTCTTTTACATTTATTTCAGATGATTGAAACTAATGATATTTCAGAAGAAAAGATGAAGATGAAGCAGACTATGGAAGGTATGAAACATTGTTTTGTCTTGGAACACTCTGTTCTAGTGGCTCATGTGCCTTCCCTTCCGCTGACTTTCTACTCTTGCAGGAATGGCTGTGTGGAAGGGGCTTAGGAAGCCATTTCATCTGTCAGATTTTGCTGGATGGCATTTGTTGTCTGGCTTTTCCCGCCCTGCCCCGAGTCTGGCTGAGCATGTGCAGGGGTGGATGGTTTTTACTGATATTACGCACTCACCGTGCAGATGGTGCAGCTTGGAGGCAGATCTGGGGAAATGGGCACGCTTCTGTCCCTTCACGGGTTGTTACAGCAGGTCAAATCCAGACATTAAATGTAGTTTGTTCATAGGAGACGACTGCTAACGGTAGATATTAATGGGACCAGCTTAAAATAATGGGGGTTACTTTTTTTTTAATTAAGCTTCCTATAAATCAAATCTGCCCTTTTAAAAAACCCGAGAAGTTACGCACTCAGAAAATCTGTGTAACGTAGCTTTGAAACTGAATTGCACTCGCCCTCCCTCACAAAGAGGGTAAGCTGTATCCCCTAGTCTGAGCCACCGCAGACCTGGAAAGGTTGGAGCTGATGGTCTCTGTTGGGAGCGATGTCCTACCACGTCGCTGCGCGTGGCGTACGCTTTTGGGTGTCTGTGAAGGCTTCAGGGCTGTTCCAAGGTGCGCAATGTGCTTCCAGATGACACCTTCCCTTGCTCGTTCCTAGGAGACTCGTATTTCTTCATTCTTCCTTAGGGTTGGTTGTCTTCAGCAGAAGATGGTCTCAGTGTAGATCACAAGGGTGATCTCTAAAGAACTAACTTGTCACTTCTCTTTTCAAGTGGCATTCGGCTTGTGGTGGCATAGCTTTGCCTCAGTTACTCACCTCTAAGGAGTCTGCTCCCTCTAAAGCCCTTGTTAAAGCCCTGCTGAGGATGTAGCAATCTAAACAGAGGTTACTGGAGAGTTTTACAGGCTTAAACTTCACTTAATAGAAACGTTCTTCGGTTTGATGTCCTTCCCGCTCTTCGTGGATTCAGAGGTGTTTTGTCCTGTTCCCATCTGCCCTCGCTGCCAGCTAGGCCTTGCCAGTCAGCCACATCACTCTCTTTGCAGGTACAGAAATACACACGTCTTGTACCAAATTGGATGCTGATTGACAGGTAATTTCTGCCTAGTGAGGGCAGAACATAAGTAGGTGCAGCAGCCACTACTCCTAAAATGGCTGCTCAGTCCACGTGCGTGTTTTGTCCACACCAAATAAGCCATATATAGGATGTACTAAAACCAACAAGTTCGTACTTGAGCCACAAAAGCATCGTACTTCAAATCTATGGCTCTGAGTGTGGAAGAGAACATGTATGTTAAAACTGTTTCTGCCTCCCAGTGTGGGAAGTAACACAAGGCGGCAGTTTAAAAGCCAGTGCGCCCGCCA